GGACCCGTGGATCCACGGACGGAGAGGCCGCGGCCATAGGCTGGGCCGGGGCGTGATCCGTCTTTTCAGCCCGTTTCTTTTCCAGGCCGAGGCGGGCGTCGGGGACTCCGCTGTTGAGTTGGTTGCGGAGGTCCGTCGTGAGGTTGAAGGCCTCCTGGAAGAGGTCCCCTCCGCCGACCTGGTCGGCCGTGGCGTCCTCATCGTGCTCCCTGGGCTCTTGGTCCTCAGGGATGGCTTTGCTGACGAGGTTGCGGTTTGACTTAGTTCTCCCCATGATCAGTGGTTAGCTGTGCTTGGTAGCGACGAAGGGTGCTAACTTGATTATTCTAGCTCTCAACGAGAGCACCAAATGATAGAGTATATCTAGAGAGAAGTGAGAGCTAGAGAGAGAAGTGCAATAATATGCTTCAATAGAATGATTTCGTGACCCCTATAACTACTCCCAAGGGGAGTATTTATAGAGAAAATTAGGGTTGGGCTCCCAAGCCTTGGGCTTGGGAGGCCCATTTACAACTGGACCGCTTCTGGGCCGAATACAAAGCCACTAATGGGCTGTACAAATGAGTAAGTGTAAAATCCGATTCTGGGAGGTCTTCGTGGCCGACGAGGGCACGGCCGACGAGGGCATGGCCAACGAGGGCACCCGGGTTCCTTGGACTCAGGACCATAATCTGAGTTGGCCCCTTCTCGGCCGACGGGGGCGTCATGGCCGACGAGGGCGCCACTCTGTGCCTTGTGCTTTCTGTTCTTCCGAGTATGTGGGTCCGGGGGCTCAGACCCATATACTCCATCAACTAGTAACCCCGGTGATGAACACTGGAAGGCAATAGTAAGAGTTTTGAGGTACTTACGTCAAACCCAAAACCTTGGACTGCACTATGGAAGATATCCAGCTGTACTCGAAGGGTATAGCAATGCTAGTTGGATATCTGACATTAAGAACTCAAAGTCCACAAGTGGATATGTTTTCACTTTGAGAGGTGCAGCCGTGTCGTGGAAATCCTCAAAAGCAACGTTAATAGCTAGATCCATGATGGAGTCTGAGCTAATAGCCTTGGATAAGTGCATTGAAGAGGCTGAATGGCTACGCCATTTTCTTGAGGATATTCCAAGTTAGGAAAAGCATGTCCCTCCCATATGCATACATTGCGATTATTAAGCGGCAATTGGAAGGGTATAGGGCAATATGTACAATGGTAAGTCTAGACACGTTCGTCGTAGACATAACATTATTAAACAACTCCTTATAACGGGTGTTATCACGGTTGACTACGTGAAGTCAAAGGATAACATAGCGGATCCGCTAACCAAGGCATTGGATAGAGATTTGTTGGAGAAGTTGTCACAAGGAATGTGACTAAAGCCCGTGAATTGAAAAGTTCTATAGTGGATACCCAACCTAGTTGATCCTAGGTTCAAAAGGGACAACTAAAGTATAGAGCGAAAGATGGTCACTGTGGGGGTCCGGACTCCTACCCACTCCTCGTTAAAACAGTGACTACCGCACGAGGTTAGCAAAAATGTTTGCTTTAATGATTCTAAAATGTTGATCTACTCGATAACATTGGAAGAGTATGCGGGATACTCGTGAAAGAATCACCTATGTGAGAGAGAAGTGGGTCGCTTCAAAGTAGAAATGTAAAGGCTCAGTTCTTTAGAAACTCTTGCAGAACTAGGACGGTGACCCATGGCCAAAACGAGCACACCCATGAGAATGAAACAAAGTTGGAAGGTTCTTGTGTAAAGATAAGTCAATGTTTACACGATAGCAGTATAGTTCAAGGACATCGAGTCTACTAGACATCGAGTCTTTACAGTGGAAGGTTCAAAGGATAAAACCTACATGTCCGTATGCAAGTATCATCCGGTGAACACAACGTGTCCTCATATCTTCGTATGTTTTTAAGTCTCGAAAATCAATTTTCATTCATGTGGGGGATTGTTGAAAAAATGTGTTAAAAATTGTATTAAATGGTCATTTTGGAGAAACTATTTGAGTGGGGTCCACTTCCGATTTGGGTCGGGTCAAAGTGGTTTCGGATTGTCCTTGTTAAGGGTTGCAATTCAATATATGGTACGCTCAAAACGGATAACGAGTGAATGAGAAATTGATTCTCGAAGTTCACTCGTTGAAATGGAAAAACTGGGGAAATGTTGGGTTTCTAGTGTGTTTTATACCACACCGGAAAACTCAAGGGATTTTCACCCCCTTATAAAGGGAAGTCTCTTTTAAGAAGTTAAGATTCCTAAAGGTAAAGACTCTCTCTTACCCGCAGGGGGGTGCCAATCAAATCCTGAAACGGAGAAGAAAAACCTTGACTCGTGTGCGCGGGCGACTGCAGACATGAATGTCGTCTGAAAATCTATCATTCAAAGATACGATTTAGTTTTGGTTTCTTCCCGTAACGTTCCTTTAGCACGAGCTCTGGCTAAACTTTATTCCATCTCTTTTCTGTTTTTTCTTTGACTATTTAATTAATTATTTTTATTAATTGATATTTCTTCGTTTTTCCGAGACACACCCAACCAGGGGCGGATCCTTGTGTGGGCAGGGGTGGGCTCCAGCCCAGCCCAATTTTTATTTTTTAATTAGTATATGCATAAATTTAATGTCCAGCCCATCCCAAAATTAACTCCTAGCCCACCCTAAAATTAATTCCCAGTCCAATCCAATCATATTATCAACTATTCCACTTAACTACTTCAAGCAAACCTGCGGCCAGAAGTTCGGAGCTGCGACGGAGCTGCGAAGCACGAAGGTGAAAGAGGGAGTAGCGGAGCTGCGACGGAGACACCAAAGACGAACATCATCTGACTTTGGTCAACTGCTGAGCCGCCGCCCGCCGTCTAGGGCCCTGTGTCGGCCATCTTCCCTCTCCGACTCTGCCCTCTGTGGCTCTGCCTCTATCTCCATGTATACTCTAAATTCAAATACTCTTTTACACTATTTTTCTTGATTAAACTTGTATTATTTGTTAAACATTGCATTATTTGTTAAGCAATGTATTATTTTGTGAAACATTGTTAATCTATTTGAATATTTGATGAACCGAGGACCTGGAGCGATTGTGTCATTGTGTTTTATATGTGAAACATTGTATTATTTTGTGACTGTGTTATTATGTATTTGTTTAGTTTTGTAAATCTATTTGATTCTTAATTGAATTTTTCAGTACATAATAAAATAGTGTTTATTCATTATAAATTTATAATGGTTAATAATAAATTGTTTTTTTCCAAAAAATGATTTAAGATAAAATTAAAGATCAGTGAATGATTTATTTATAATACAATTGAAGATTAGGGAATAATTTATTTATTGTGTGGACATGTAAGAAATAGTTAAAAATTTCAATTGAAATTTGAAATAAATCTTTAATAATCATTAATAAATTTATAAAATCGCACTAAAAATGTTTAAATTTTAAGTTATATACGGTTTAATTTATTCCTATGATTTATAAGTTAACGATAGGTCGAGCCCGGATTGAACCGAACATCACTAAGCTCAAACTCGGCTTGAATAACTATTCGAACTGAAAATCTAGCCGTTTTCGACTTCGAAGCTTGTTAAGCTTGAGTCATTAAATTAAATTTGAAATCGCGTTCAAACTCGTGTAGTTCAAAAAAAGCTTAGTTCGATAACAACCCTAAATTAAACATTTTGTGTGCAGTAACAACTTTTTTTACTGCTTAGCCCACCCCACGTCCCGTTCCTGGATCCACCCCTGCACCCAACATATCATTGGTTTGATCGGCCACGGAAAAGAATATCCAATCGAGCATAATCTTTCTCTCATAGCATGACGGTGGTTCAGACGGAGGGCGAATAATTAAGGTCTTGAAGGCGTCGATGTATGAAGTTACCCTCCCGAAAAAATCACGCATGACAAGAATTGTCATCCACCACCAACGAGAAATACACAAACCCTAGACATCGCAAGAAACCACATAAAATAAGTTGATATTACCCATGACGGAGATAATTCTTCATCTTTAAGAAGAAAAAATGATTGAGAATAGGATAAGAGAGGGGAGATGGGTAGGGTTTGCGGAGTGGTTCTTATCAACCAATTTCTCATTAAACAGATACGTAGTAATCAGGGGCGTAGCTAGGGAGGGGCCAATCTTGGCTCTGCCCCAGCCCAAATTTAAAAATGTGTATTTTTATGTAGAAAATTTCGTAGAAATTCCCCCCCCCCCCCCCCAAAATACTCTTCGTATTGCCCAGTCCGACCCGGTGCACGGTCTCCGCCTTAGTAGCAATTTTTTACTTCGCGTTCTAAATTATGCAATAAGCAAAATATGCACGTTTAAAGTTATACTAGTATTTTTAATCCTTCAAAAAAAGGATACATCTTTAATTGAATTAACCGAAATTACTATAAATGAAGATTGCAGATTTGCAGCTTTTTTTCACATAACTTTTTCTTTGTTTTATTAATAAAAAATAATTTAATTTTTTCTTGCAATTCAATAAATCCAATTCTCTTCCACCAGAATATTATGAATTTGAGCAGATTGAGTTTGAGATAATTTGTAGCAAAAGGGAGGGTCTTAATTCGGGCAAAAAATCTGTTTGTACCCAATTTTGTACTCATCCTGCACATGAAATTCGTTAAGAACAAGACAACATTTTATGTGTTTATGTGCGTACACAAACAAAATAAAGGGTGAGTAGCGAGTACAATCATACATTCCGTGGAACTCTAATTCTCGTGAGCTGGCCACCTCAGTCCCTCTCCAATCATACATTCCGTATATATATTGTCGAGGCTGTTGCACCACATAGTCTGGGCTAAATTTATCTCTATTTTCAACGGCACACAAATACTTCTCATCTCCGAAGGTATGTATTTAATACTTCTTTCGTCCCTTTTATATTGTCTCGTTTTACCTTTTTGAAAAATCCCACTAAAATTGTCTCATATCATATTTGTTAAAGTTTGTGTGATTCTAAATCATTCTTACTTTCTTCTTACTTTATCGATTAATATCGATCATACAAACTCACTCTTCTTAATAATTCTGCGACTCTTCACGTATAAGAGGGTAGGAGGTAGTAGCTTTCTTAGACGCGGCCATTTTCTCATCAGTTACTCAGTCATCGTTCGATTAACTTTAGAAGCTGAAATAACTCGATTGAGTAGGGTATATCATAAATACAATTAGATGGAGGGAACAATTCGAAGCTCTGCGAACTATGTGCCGCTTACCCCAATCAGCTTCCTGGAGCGGTCAGCTGTGGTGTACAGAGATGATGTCTCCATAGTCAACGGCTCTCTCCAGTTTACATGGAAACAGACCCGCGAGAGGTGTCTCACCCTCGCCTCCGCTCTCTCCCTCATCGGAATCTGCCGCCACGACGTCGTAAGTTGTACTGCCCTTTTCACTCCTCGTCCATTTCTCATTTTGTTATTGAAAGCCTCTAATGTTGGCATTTTCTGAATTTTTACTGTTTTCCTGATGTGGAATTATTAGACGACGATTCACAATTTTCGAAGTTGCATTGTTCATGTGAATAGAAGCACTGAGTTTGCATCTATGGTGCCATCTGCAATGTATACTTCACCTCACCGATATTCTCGTTTTTCCTCGAACAGAAAAACTTAGACCTTTTTAATTCAGAACCGAAAGATATTGTATGCAATTTAAGGATTTGAAACTTGAAAGTTTCAATTGAATGATTTACCGACTTTGTTTTTGGGTTTATCAGATTTATTAACAAAATCTTACTTTTTAACAAAACACGAAAAAATAAAATTGAAGTTACTTTTGTGCCTTTATTGGCCAAAGTTACTGTAGATGACCGTTTCAACTATTTTTTCATACAAGTTTTTCTTTATTTTATAAGTAAAATATTAAAAATACTCCTTTCGTCCCTAAATTTTGTTCGATAGTACAAAAGTCACGAGGATTAAGATAGTTGTGTGGTGAAGAGTTGTGGTGAGGAGAAATAAATGTGTAAAAATTGCTATGAAACACAATTTTTTTACCAAAAACGGAATGTGGAAGTTTAGGTTGAGACACCTAAAAAGAAAGTTGTAAGTATTTTTATGGACATGGAGTATATTTTTTTCATAAGTCACCAAAATCATCAAATACAGTCACTTAGGTCAGAACTTTATAAATTTCAGCAGAATCAGACGATTCAGTTGATTTCAGTATTACCAAACGAGATCTTAAACTATCCATCTAAGCATACAAAACTCACGAGCTTTGATTTTTAATTTTCTTTTTATTATTATTATTATTAATTTATTTTGTTCAATATACTTCGTACTACCTCTTTCCCGTTTAAAGGTTTCCATGACAAAATGGGAAGATTATATAGACAATAATTAAATATGCTAATTCGAGTACAGTTTGAGAAATAATTTTGATAAGCATATAATATAATGAGTTATTAATAATAACTGTGATGTTAAAAATGTATTATTTTTTATATTTGATGATTGAATTGTTACTTAAGGGTGTTATTGTTTTCTAAAATAGAAAATGAGAACCTTTAAGATGCTTTTACTTGGACATAAATTTGCTGATCCAATCTGGTTTGGTTTGTTAAAGTCTGGTCTGATCTCTTTTTATTTTACAACTATGGATGTTTGATCTGGTTAGTCTGATCTATTTAGGTCTGGTTTGGTGTATTGACGTCTGATCTGATCTGGGATAAAAAACAAGACAAGTAAAAACATCGTTAATAGAAAATTGAAATTTTCTAGCTTGTTTAAGCAGTCTGGATTCGTGAGACCAGGATTGTTTTGGTTTTACTTTATCATTATGTAATGCTGGTCTTGTCTAATAACAGTGATAAGGTCTCATCACTCTCATGTCTTTGGGTTTGGTTGAATCCCGTCAACTGCGATAAGAAGTTACTATGCTAAAATGCAGAGTCTTGTGATAAAGTGTCTGCAAGTACCAGGACCAGAGCCTCACACTCTATCTGCCATCTTGTGATAAAGTCCAATTTACATCCTCCTATCTAAATGTTCGGTCGGTGTTGGGGACCCTCAGGGATGGAGTGTCCTCCTTTTTTTCCGGTTTGGTCGGTCTCAGGAAAGTTCACGTGAACGGCTTAGTAGTCCATAAAATAAGTGTGAACGGGTTCATAGCCCATGAAGGAATTTTAATTTCAATGAAAATTAATCAAAACTCGTAATAAATACTCCGAAATAATAACCAAAACTCGTGATGGTTTTGGTTTTAGATTGTTTCAAGAATTGAAGTCCTAACTCCTAAATGGATAGTTTTCACCTTTGAACCCGGGCACTCAATTGATAGCTAACTTATTTTTGGATCTGAATACGTAAAACTCCTTCCCCCCACTAGAGTGCTTATTATTTCTCCTTTGTGATTAGCATTTGTGGTTCATTGTATGACCAGGTTGCAGCCATGGCTCCAAATATTCTTGCAATGTATGAGCTACACTTTGGAGTTCCCATGGCCGGGGCTGTCCTTTGCACACTCAATACACGTCATGACTCAGCCATGGTGGCAGTTCTGCTCAAGCATTCAGCGGCCAAGCTCATCTTTGTAGATACCCAATTCCTTGATATTGCTAAGGGAGCCCTTGAGATTCTATCAAGGTCAAACACCAACTTGCCTTCCATAATTATTATGCAAGATCATGACCAAGCAATCCCATCCACCCAATCGGGGTGTTGGAATTATGAGTCCTTTTTAGAAAGTGGAAGAACTGATTTTGAGATAATATGGCCAAACGACGAATGTGACCCGATATCACTCAATTACACTTCGGGCACGACTTCTAGGCCTAAAGGAGTTATTTATAGCCACAGGGGAGCCTATCTGAACTCTCTAGCCGCCGTTCTTCTCAACAACATGACATCAATGCCAGTCTACTTATGGGTAGTTCCCATGTTCCACTGCAACGGGTGGTGTCTCACATGGGGGGTAGCTGCACAAGGCGGCACAAATATTTGTTTGAGGAGTGTCACCGCAAAGAGTATATTTGACTCCGTTTCCAACCACCGCGTCACCCACATGGGCGGTGCACCAACCGTTTTAAACACGTTAGTAAACGCACCACATAGCGTGAAGAGGCGGTCTCGTGCGAAGGTTGTGGTAATGACAGGAGGTGCACCGCCACCTCCTCACGTCCTCTTTGAGATGGACGCTCTTGGATTTGAAGTCATCCATTCATACGGTTTGACCGAAACATATGGTCCAGGGACCGTATGCTCATGGAAACCCGAGTGGGATTCTTTACCGCCCGATTCACGGGCCAAACTCAAAGCTCGTCAAGGGTTGAACCATGTTGGGATGGAAGAGGTAGACGTCAAAGACCCTTTGACTATGAAAAGCGTATCGTCAGATAGTAAAACCCTTGGGGAAGTGATGTTCAGAGGTAACACGGTGATGAGTGGGTATTTGAAAGATATCAAAGCTACAGAAGAGGCTTTTAAAGGCGGTTGGTTTAGAAGTGGGGACTTGGGAGTGAAACACGCGGATGGGTATATAGAATTGAAGGACCGGTCAAAAGACATCATTATTTCGGGGGGAGAAAACATCAGTACGATCGAGGTTGAGTCTGTGATCTTTAGCCATCCGGCTGTTCTTGAGGCGGCTGTTGTAGGGAGACCAGATGATCACTGGGGTGAGGTACCTTGCGCTTTCGTGAAGCTTAAGGATGGGATTAGTAATGTGACCAGTGATGACATCATCAACTACTGTCGGGGTCGTCTCCCTCACTACATGGCTCCACGGTGGGTGGTTTTTGATGATCTGCCCAAGACTTCGACTGGGAAGACGCAGAAGTTTATTCTCAGACAAAGGGTCAAAGCTATGGGGTACCATTCAAAGGGTAGTAAGTTATGAGGTATTGTAACATAAGAAGTGTTTGTGATTACTTTGTTTGAAGTGTAACAGTTTGTACAAATGTATATGTAACTCATTCACTCACCCCATTTTTCAATTGGAATTTTATCTACAAGAGAGCGGAGAGCCAAATAAATCATCTTCTCCGTTCCCCTAATATATTGGTCTTAAAAGCGTGGATGGTGTGGGGGATTTTGGTCCCTAATTAAGTTGTATCATAATTGGCTTTTGCGTTGTTAGTGATTGCACTTACTCAGCTACACATATACGGAGTATGTCGTAATGTAGGTGTAGGATTTTTGGCCCCTCAGATTTGTCTCCATAATGATAAGTGAAAATGTTAGCACCATAAATACAAACATGTATTGACGTGTTATCTAGCTATTTGATTGCATTAACTAAATTTTGAGTTAAGTCTCTTCCTTCAAACTGCGAATACGAGTGGACTCGGGCCGGGCCAACCGGCCCGGAACCGGACCAGCCCGCTATTGTGCGGGCCTGGACCGGCTGGTTGCCCGGTTCGGGCCACCCGGCCCAGTGGGATGGCGGTTCGGGCTCGGGCCCTTCAAAAGGTGAACCGGCCCGGCCGGTTCGGGCCATTTTATTATTTTTTTTTTGAATTTTTTTTAAGTTTATATGGGGTTTACCGTTGTTTGGATTTGTATGTTCTGAGTCCGATTTGTTCTGTTTATTGGTCGGAAATTGTTCCTTGACCCATTTCAGACCTTCGATTTGAAATTGGAAGGAAGATATACGGCCAAAAACTCAGAAAGCGAGCTCTTTACAGCGAATTTTACTGTTCACTTCGTATTTGAGTTTGGGTTTGCGTTTCGAATTTGACGATTGTTTCAACGATTTGAGTCTGGTTTGGTGTTCTCCATCACTGGACGCACCTCCAATACTGTTTTCCGGAGAGTGGAGATGGATGCAATCCGGAAAACCATCTTCAAGAGGAGGGGCAACAGATACAGGTTCATCATGTCTTCTGCTTGACAAATACCAAGTCCATAAATACACATGTCCAATACAACACATATTAGAATTGGAATATATCATTCTTCATTTGAAAGAAGAAAATGAAGAATTCATGAGAGAAGTGGCATTGCCATAAAAATGACAGATATGTGAGGAAGAAATGCACTAACATGTTTCTATCTCCTTCACTAGAATGAGCATTAATGGCTGCATTAAGATCCCCAAAATGTTCCTGAATAGCACATCATATGAACATATTATGAAAGACCTAATTACATTATACAGTCATTAGTAAAAAGGACAGCTTAGGAAGTGAACTCAAGTCCTTACTAAAAAAACTAAAAGCTTAGGCAGTGAACTCAATTTTTTGGTCCAATGGTATAACACCAGACATAATTGGATATATTAATGAGATCTAAAAATGACCAATTTATTTCTCCCCTCTCTATATGATGGTCCTGGATAGAGGTAAGAGTCTAGAAGAGGGTGAATAGACTTTTAAATCTTTTTCAACTTTGAAACTTTTTCCCTTCTAGATGAGTTGATCTAAAATCTTTAGGGAGATTTATAGATGCACAACGGAAGTCTTTAATCTCTTAGATAAATAGTATATAACAACTTTCTACGATGGATGAAGTTTGGGCTTTATATGGTGAGCAGTTAACTTGACAGTTGACTAGAAAGCAGGGAACTGCTGAGACAACTGTTAGTGAAGTACTGAGTGTATGGTGAAAGTGCACTCAGAATCTTTCTTAGAGTGAGAAGGGCTTTATGATGATGTAATGAGGTGGGTTGATAATCAATCTTAATGAGAATAGTGGTCTCAGCAGTTGGGTAGTAACCAGGGAACTGCTGAGGTACCTGCTTAAGTGAAAATGATGATATGGAAAGACTGATTATATAATATTGCTCAGGGTGATGAGAGCTTTCTGAAGATGTGTTTTAGTACAAGTAACTGTGAGTTTTACTGGAGCAGTGGTCTCGGCAGTTGGGTGGCAATGAGGAAACTGCTGAGGCACCTGCTGGGTTACAGCTTGAGTTTCACAAATCAGTTTGAACAGACTCATTGGTGATAGTGTTGTGAAGGTCTGGTGAAGTTAAGATGTTTAAAGGAAATAAGTTTGTATGAGCAGTGAGATCAGCAGTTGGGTAGACACCTGGGGACTGCTGAGGCAACTGCTATGCTTTTAAGATGATTTCCTGAAATCTGATGGAACAGACCTTTTAGTGGTGATTGTGCAAGACTCTTGCGGAAAGATTGTCTCAAAGAGAGTGAGTTATTAAGCAGTAGGATAAGCAGCAGGGTCAATTAAGACTACTTCTTAGGATGTTGGTGGCAAACTACAATCTTTTATGAGAAGTGTTTGGTGTGTGCTTTGTTGACTGAAAATAAATCAACACACAGTATATCCTGGTTCAGAGGTGGTGTAATCCTCCTACGTCCAGTCCCACCCTCTTTCAGATGGATTTCTACTAAAGTATTAAGCCCAATACACTTAGTGCCAATCTGGCCTTTACAACACTTAGGCCTAGGTTGAAGGTTTTTCACAATGAGTATAACACCACTCAAAGTTACTCAGTCCTTAAACTTTTCTCAAATGATCCAGTGGGGATCAAAAGGTACTCTATCTATCTAACCACACTTTAGGATCCGAACAACTGTTCTCCTAAATGTTTACAACAATTTGTGATTTGTTTACAAGAAAGTTCTAACCTCCAACTAGGAACTAAACTTCTAGGATTTATCAATGAATATTTGTAACTTCGAAGTTTAGTGAAGCATGAGTCCAAGCAGAGAGTAAAGTATAGTTTCACATTTTCCTTTTTGCTAGATATCTCGTGAATGCTCAAAGCTTGGTTAGAAACTTTCGTTTCAGCCTATATTTATAGGCTTCTCATGTGGATTAATCTCATCCGTTGGTTAGGATGATTTAATCTCTAACATTGAAAATCTGGCGAGGACGAGTTGTACATTTGTCTTCTTGTGCTGGAGCATTTATTGGGACGATCTCTTTGTCTTGAGTATCTGAGCCGCTGAAGCATCTCTTCAGAAAATAGTCTCATGTGTGCGTTTTAATGCTCTGGACCCCAGTACTATTTTAGCATTAACTGTAGGTCAAGTTTTGTCTCCAATCATACACATTCAATGTATATGATTTTCGATCCTTTTTAAGTTTGTGACATTTAATTAATCTTTGAGTCAAACAAAATATTTGTCGGTAGGATCTAAATATCCTATCAAGGTAAATAAAAATTACCTTATTGCTTTTTGACTTTTCCGGTAATATTTTTATTAGTCTAAAAAATTGTACATTTATTTGTCACTTCATAATTTAAACTTGAACACTAATACTCGAATTAAATAAGACACAATGTACAAGTGCGAAGTATAGTGACATCATCGAAATCTATCAAAATTGGATACTAACACTATATCCATCTATAACGGCCTTGAGTCCTAACTCCTAAGGATGTTTTTACTTGGACTGTTTCCAGTCCCAGACTAAACCAGATCAGATCAGACTTGGGTAGTTATAAAATACATAGAGACCAGACATTTACCAGACCAGCTCAGACTAACAAATTTCAGTCCAAGTAAAAATATTCTAAAAGGTTGTGGACTAACATAAAAAACATGAATTCCTCTGTGCAACCATAGTTCATCACTTCATCCCTTACAACAAGCATGCATAAACCCATGGTACTTGACATTCATTCCAGATATACATGCAATACAAGAAACTATCATTTATCTTTGATGTGGAACTTTTTCCATTAATATACAAGCCCATCGAAGCACAAGATCTTCTTCTCCTTCTCCTTCTTCTTGTCTGTCTTCTTGTTTGGCATCGATATCATGGATCGATTCATGTTAGCTGCCCCCAAAATCTTTTAGGATTAAGGCCTGGATGTTGTAGTTGTAAGTTTGGACTCCATGCAATGTGCTAACATCTTTAGCTTAGATAAAAAATGCAAGCAAATTTAGGCCAGTGAATACTAAAATGTAGAAAGCTTCTTAAGGAAACCGGAAAGTGCCAGAAATAACTAAATAGGTAAATAAAACCAAATTTGTTTGCCTTAGATACATAATTATTAGGGGTGAACATGAGACGGTACGAGATGGTTATTTAAAAAACATGTCTCGTCTCAAAGTACGGTTCTTTTAAAAAACAAAGAACCGGTACCGTCCCGAATATGTATAATACATGTCCCGCTCTGTACCAATTTTTAGTACGGTTCGGTACGATTCTTCAGTACTATTCGATTCCAAAACAATTAATTCCCATAAAAAATATTTTAGGTTTTAGCATTAATAAATAACTGTACAAAAATTGAAGGGAAGGGACCACAAATTTGAAATCAAACATAACAGAAATACAAAGTCTAAGAAAGTTATAGACATATATCCTTACGTTGAGGAAGAGATAGATATATGTAAGAAGAAGATTACAGTTTAAGAGCTTTTGACATATTACTTTTTAGAAGAGCTCAACCACCTTGATTAAATACATAATACATTGTCTAATTCTGAAAACCGTACAATCTTCAGTGTGAACTCATTAGAGAAAAGGGGCCCATCCATTTCCTAATAAATTCTATAGATGTAGAAAAATGAAAAGAAAACATTAACAGATTGCATCCTATTTAGTATTGAATCCTTTTGTGCAACCAAGCCTCAACCTACCTCATTTATTTCACATATCCTTCTCTAGGCTCCTTTTACACTTTAAAGGATTCATTCCTTCACAAAAATCCAAATATCTTTTTTTAATGTAAAAGTCCAAATATCTTAGGAGGAAATGTTTTTTGAGTGAGCTCAAAAAGTGAATTTCTAACATTATTATCACTTGTTGGGAGACACATTTTATTCAAATGAAGTTAGTAGACTGTATTAGTAAGGTTAGTAGATTGTATTACTCCTCTAATTTGCCTCAAGTTGAGGATACTAACTACGATAGTAAGGTTAGTAGACTGTATTACTCCTCTAATTTGCTTCAAGTTGTAGGGAAAGGTAAGGGGAAAGCAAAGATGACACAAGGATGAGAGCATGTAATAAATACTTAAACAGGTTAAGGCATATTAATGGTTCAGAGAAATTAATCTCTTCATATAGGTCACAAAGCGTTGAACTTAATAGGTCACCATATACCAGGGTAAGCAGTGTATCAACTCAAGGAGTTCATACTCAAGGAGTTGTGGGTGACAATGTTTCAAGTGATGACATTAAGCTTTGATGATATTACCTCAGAGGAAGAGTCCTCCGAGATTATCAACTCATACCAAGGTAGGCAGGGAAAGCAGAAGTGTTGTTCCTAATGATTCATGTTTGACAATCCCTAAACAAGTTTGATCAGATTAGTCCATGTCCAA